AAATACATCAAAACGGACCATGGTGGAAATCTCCATTTTCATATGTTTGCACAGCAGTCTAAACTTCACACACAGCCAGATATGTTGATGTGGTTAGTTAGCATCTGTGTTTATATTTGTATTTGCATTTTGCATTTTCTGCCGTGGTTGATGAGAGGGGAAGAGGGGGCGGCGGACGGGGGTGGTACGGATACACATGTCCATGTCCGTCACATTTGTCGTTGAACATGTAGTAGTGTTTACCTCCATTCCACAACCCATTTTATCGCTTTTTTCTCTGTCGATTTGGCCTGGCACATTTGTGTTTGTTCAGCTACTTTTGCGGTTTGCCGCTTTTCGCGCACATTTCAACCACATTTGTAGTCACTCCGGATTGGACAAACGCCAAAAAAGGAGTTCAAGTGGGCGAAAGGAGAAGGCCACCTAAAGTTTTGATTACAGCTTCTAAAATGAATTTAGCTTTAATTATTATGATCGTTTTTCTTAGGGAAACGTACAACTGTATATTATTAACTATTTTACTAAGACATTTTTTTTACAAGATGTTTCATAAATAACAATAAATACAATAATATAAAAATATCATTAAAATATTAGACTGAGCACGAAGTTCAAATACACAAACTATGTAAATTGTTTGCATTTTTAATAAACAAACCTCATATACACAACTATTATCATAAAACAACAGTACAAATGTACTTTGTCGGTACATGTATTGATTGTCCATTGATCGCTAATTTTTAGTCCCTAATGAGGCCATCGCAGTTTAGATAGCCACTCCTAGTTTAATGCCTCATCATTTGAATTCGGTTCGATAATCGGGAAAGCGCAGGAAATTAATTAGAAATGCCGGCAAATTGAAACGCATTACCATACAAATCTATAATTTCAACGAAATTAGTGAACATTTTTATCGCAATGCAATGTTTTTGAAATTTTTAGCGCGCGCTTCGTCGTCGTTTGTGTGTTTTTGTACAACGGGGCGTATGCGCAATTTGATGTGCTCGCAATTCAATTAAATTCGGCAAATTAAAGCGAACTGGTAACGCTGAAGTGAAATTTAATTGCATGGGGGACCGATTCCCCTTTTGGTCTCTCGTTTTTTCTCTGGGGAAGCCAGTGGAAAGTGCAGCACGTATTTATTAGCTGACGTGCATTGATGAAGGTCGAACCAGCGAATGCGTGATCAACTGAAACGGGGGGTTGATGGTTGGTTGGTGCTTGATAAAGCTGGCAAAAATTCCCTCTGGCCGTTGATTGACTCACGATTATGCAATAAAACAGCGCACGACAGGCAGGACAACACTCAAATCCCGCAGAGACAATGGCCCACAGACCATCCATCCATCGTCTTGCTCGCTTCCCTTATTTGCCATCGAGGCACATCGGGGTGTTTGTGTGGATTTCATTGGCTCCATTTCAACAGCAGCTTTTCAAAAGCTAAAACTTTTTTATGTCCAACTCATTAAAAATGTGCGCCAATGGACTTTATGCAGGCCAGGCCCGGGATCCTTGATTCCTTTCTGACTTGGCTCGAGCTTCGTTCTGTTACCACACATATACACATTGGAATATACACAGAATCAGGGCAAAATACTTGTGCACTTGAAGAAAATTTAGCTGAGCTTTGACTTTAATATTTTTGAACTTTTTGTAAGCTAGTGTTTTATATTTGGAGCCTCATTAACGGAAATAACTTACCAACCACGTAACTTTTTAACTTAGTAAGTACATTAATTACGTTCTAACTTAATTTAATTTACTTATTCAAAGAAAATGTTTTAAGACCGCTGTTTTAAATTAAAGTTAAATTTTTTCTACAATTTTTTTATCCTTTAGATCTTTGTTTATCTGAATGACATACTCAATATAAGACTGTCGTCTATCTTATTCCAATGAATACAATAATAAAAAAATGGTTGTTTCGGCTTTATCCAGTTATTTTTCCCTATGTTGATTTTAGGATGTTTTCCGCTTGAATATCTCGCATTTTGCCTGAATACCAATGGACGACCAAGTTGAAGCCAGAAAGCCAAATGCAATTTCCAAGTTTTTAATGTGCGAAATTTCTAATTTAAGATTTACGATATTTTTATGTCGAATTACGGACCCCCCGTTGCCGTTGATGTTCGCTCCTTTTCGTGCTCTGGTGTTTGGCTGTGAATTCTTCTGGCCAGCTGCTTTATGATGGGAAGTTGGCCCGTTTTGCCCATTGGCCCATTTGCCCTGCCCGTTGGCTTTTAATGGAGCCCGGGACTCTTTAATTGTGGAACTCTGTGCGTAATGCAGCAGCAGGCCCCGCCGGATGGGTATATTTTTGGGCTCTTAATTATGGACACGCCCAAAGGTCAATGGTCGCCTTTTGATGCAAATTTTATGGACTGGAACTTAATTGGGCCCCGGCCCCCACAGAGAAAACTGAAAAATCTGCCGCCGGCATATAAAATGCCCTGTCCAAATTGTTTTGCGACTAACCAATTGACTAAAACCAACAAAAATTCGAAGCTGGTGCAGATTTAATGTGCATTTGTTTTTGTCGCGGTTTGTTTGTGTTTTTCGAGGGAAGAAAGGTCAGGGGACGGGACGAGTTTTTGGGGATTTGTAAACGCAGCGATTGCAGATGCAGTTTTGTTAGTTAGGGCAATAAATTGTTGGCTCCATTTGGTTTCTAGAGGGGAGGGCAAGGGAAAGGGGAAAAGGGAAAGGGGAAAGGGATGTGTCAGATGCAGAGATTGCATAAAATAAATTGGTCAGCGATTGATTTGGGGGATTTTCCGAACAATTTATTACCACCGAGATAAAGGCATTTGAGTGTCAACATCAAAATGGCAACATTCCATTCCATTCGAATGCCCAACCCAGTCAAATATTTTCCCTTTAATCCTTTTTGCGTGACCTACACGGCAACAAATATTGTTTTGGGAGTAAAGTGTATTCGGGTTTTAGCTCTATCAAATTTTAAATAATGTTGATATCGATTTGTTAGCATATAAAAATATTAAGGTAAATAATCTTAGTTATATACTATTCTTGAGGTAATCTATTTTCATTAGAACGTGAAACACACAGAATTTATAAAAAGGAAATTTTGTTAATAAGGTATAATATACAATTGAAGTATTAGAAACCTTTATTTGAAAAAAAGCTTAAAAATGCTATTTCTAAAAATTCCACAATTTATTTAAAAGCTCCCTTTTAAACAATACAGTTCTCTGACTATATTAGCTTTCGTTTGTACCCCAAAAAAGTGTTAAAATAAAATGTAAAATATTTATTGACTTGGAACATTTTTCTGAGTGAATCTTTAATGTCACATTTTACAGCACATTAGGCAGACACCCGAGTCGAGTGCAATTTAAACCGCTTAAGTGAAAAGAGAAGCGTCGACACGTGCTCCGTTGGCCAAAAAAGGGAGACAGCGATTTCCAGTGGTGACCGAAAAAAGAAACCGCAAAAACCGTATCTCAATTGCAATCACTCAAAACAACGGAAATGACGCTTAGCACAACTTCCTGTCGCTCCGGCGGACAAGCGGACGGACAAATGAAAGTATCCACAGCTACGGGACGATGCGCAGCACCACCGCACCACCCAAACACAACCACCCACTAGAATTGTAATTCATGTCGCTAGGGGAGTTTTCTTTTTTGGCATATTTGTCAACTATGTTTCCACTGCACACATGATGAGGTGGGATGGTGGGCGAACGGTGGGTGGAAGTGGGAAAAGTGGCCGTATAGGACCAGTCATACACCACTGACTGGCACATTCAAGTGCAATTTCCTTGTAATGCGAAACTATGTCATTTTGGCACGGACGCGAGCCGAAAAGCAGTTCCAGGACCGCTGATTCGGCCCTAGGTACAGGCAAGCCTCCATAAATTATACTGACAAACGTACATTATTAAAGAAAACATTTTTATATATATATTTTTTTATCGTCTTTCATTACGTAAATTGCTGGAAATTTAAATTTATGTTTCAGAAGATTTATATAAATATTTTTTTTTTGCAATATCTGTATTTTTTACCATCAATTTTGTCTTAATTTTTCTAAAAGTATAATATACCCTAAAAAATGTTTGTCAAGTTTTAAAAAGTTCGACTATACTTTTTAAGAAAGAAAAGTGAAATGATAAGCTGTTTCTATATATCATATCTTACTTGAAATGTATGCCAAATTTGATTCAAAATTGGAAGTTAAGTTTTAGGGTTCAAATATAATAAATAAATAATAAAAACTTTGAGATTTTTGTATTGGAAGATATGTAGTTGAACAAACACCTGTAGGAAGTTAAGTTTTGTTTCCTTTACATAATATTTAACATATAAGAAGAAATACGGGATTTTTCGATCGGATGGTGATAAAACTGTGAATGTTTTGTTACGTAAATCACCACTTCGAGATAAATCTTGTTGGGGAAACCAATTTAGGGACATTCGTCTGTACTTGCTCGCAGCGCATGCATGCAAACATGACACGTTGGCGCACTTGTGATGACACTCGTGTCCACCTGGCAGCTAGATCCTGGCACTCGCAACTCGGCCCTGAGCTCATGGCACCCAGCGATTGCAGCTGCAACCGGATGCGGAACCAGAAGCTCTCGTCCTGAGCTGGAGCCGGAATGCCGAAGAGCCGGAGTGCCGAAATAGCCGGCAAGCAAAGTGGCTACGAGAGTGACGGGCTCTGGGTCTTGGAGACACAATTCCGAGGGGAGGTCCTTGGCAACCGGTGTGACAGGCGGCATTTGATAATGTCAAGCCCCAAATCAGCAACAGACACCGACCAAACGGAGGGGGGACAATTGCAGGTTGCGATTTCAGCCAGTAGTTGCCACTTGGCCGGGCACACATGGCCCACCAGCTGAAGTGTCTGCCTGGACCGAAGTCGAGTGCGGTTTGTCTGGCCGGCCGGTGGCAAAACTAAGCTACCATAGTTTAACTCCTGCACATCCTTAATTGCCGCTGAATTTGTCTCCATTCCTTTTGTCTTTACAGAACAGTTTCACATTTTTGTGGGCGACCTGAGTGCCGAAATCGAGACGCAACAGTTGAAAGATGCATTCACCCCATTCGGAGAAATATCGTAAGTACCGGGAAAAGTTTATAGATTATCCTTATTCTCAGTTAAGAATAAGAATTTTATGCGTTAACTAAGTATGCTCAAACAATTTTAATTAAAGTTAGTTATAATGACTAACTTAAATATATCCTATTTTCTCCATTGAAAATAAGAATTTGTTCCATTTACTTATTATGCTCAAACGTATTTCATAATTAGGATCGGTCTACTAATTAATAAAATTGTTTTTACGGCTTCTCTCACTTTGCCCCACTCCACAAAACCTTTTCCAGCATCGATCCTTGTTTCGGTCAGCACATTAACTCCAATCAAAGAACATTTTGCCGCACTTGTGCCGGCCCAGCAAATTGTTAAATAAACAAATAAACGGCAAATGAAGTCCCCCGTCTACCGGCGCCTAATTTATGAATAATTAGCCAGCCGAGAGGGTGCATGTCGAAGGAAACCGCGAAATGTTTCTGCCAAAGCAACGTGAATTTCTCTGGTTTTACGTTTCGCTTTGTTGTTTTTTCCCAGCTGCCTTCTGAAAACCACGAGTGAATGGACCATAGAAACGTGGGCGCTCCCAAGCAACGGGCAATAAATTAATAATTTAATTTTCGACTTTTTTGTTTGAGCAGCCCAGAAAGGGGGCAGAAAAACAAACTGCAATGGGGACCAGTTGAAAGCCACAAGCAGCTGTCGACGCCGGGGCAAACAAATGCCGGTCGAGTGGCCCAAAAAAATATTAGAGCAGAACAAGTGAAAGCAAATAAAACTGATTTATATACATACACCCCAAGTACAGGTGGGGATGCCTATGTATATATATATATATTTTTATGCCTGGCTCAGAAATGTTGCGCCTGCTCATCAGGTCACTAACCAAAAAAAAGATATCCAGGGAGCGTGTTTCGCAGGCTTTTCAGTTGCCACTTCCTTAATTAATGAGCATCAGCCTTCGACTCCGCCTCCGCCTTCCAGCTTCCAGCCCCTCGCTATTTGCTTTCGGTTCTTTTGAGAAACGTTGAGCTCATTTTGCCAGAAACTATTTATTCGAGTGCACACAGAAAAAAAAACATTCAGAAGAACTCAAATTGTCATCAATTTAATATTTAGTTAAGTTGACAAAGTGCCTTAAATTTCGAAACCCACCTTAAACTGATTTAATATTTTGAGTACTTTTTCTTAAGGACCTAAAGATTTGTTTAAATTTGTTTTAAGCATTAAAACATTGAAGACTATGAACTTTACGCATTTACTTAGAATACTCTGCCAAATAAATTAGTATAAATCTACTAGCATCTTCTTCGTAATAATGAAAGTATACCACATATATATTTTGAGATTCTCATCTTTAAACATATAAATATATATATGATATATTCGTTCTCTACAGAAAAATATTTATTCTATAGGTCTTCTAAAGTTTATCTAAACTTAATGTTTGTCTAGACTTCACTAAAAATGTTTCAGAAACAAAAAGGTGTTTGATTTGAAATTGGGTTGCAGATTTTTAAAAATCTGTTAATTCTAAATCTAGACACAAATCTATTTAATGTTGTGTGTATTTAGCTTTTGTCTAAACTTTACTACAAATATTTCAGCATCAAAAACGTATTTCTTTTTAATTAGTTACGTTATTAATCTAAAATCAGTAGTTTCTAAATTAAGAAAATGATTTTCTTTGTGCATTGCCTAACGTTCATTTAATATTTTAAGGGCTTAGCCTTTTGATGTGCTGTGGTGGATTTTTGGGAGCGGTTTGTCCGACGACCCGCCGTCTGCAAATACTGTTTTTCCGCATGTTTATTTTAAGCGAGCGCAAATCTACGAAATAATTACATTTTTCAACTACACCTGAAGTGGCTCTTTGCTGCCTTCGGGGCCCGAGGAGCCGGCTTCAAAGACATCCTCCTGCCAGGACAACAGAGTATCCTTCGTCGCAGCCTTCGCCTCCTAATTTATTGCTCTTTATGCCTTGAGTGCCCGCGTGGGAAATAATCGCAAATATGTTGTCGTCTCCGGCTTGAGCTACTTTTCATCATCAGGTTAACAGCACTCATGGGTGGATTTTTCATTTAGGAAGCTAAATTTATACAACAATTCTGCCCTTGGCTCCAGCTTCTTTTTAATTAACTGGCTTAACTTTTAAACTGCGGTAAAGAGTGCAAACTTTACCAAGTAAGATGTGTGTGTGGAAAATTCTTCATAACTGAAAGTTTTTGTGGTTTTAGTTTTAGTTTCGGAGACGGAGACGGAGACGGAGACATAGACACTACTCATTTTGAAAGTCGATTGTAAGTTATTGAAATGAAAACAAAAGAAACTTAATGCCCCAATTATTGTAATGCCTTTGGCATCTACGCCACAACTGTAATCCCCCTCCTAATCCTTCAAAATAATTAAGTCTCTTTGAGTTTCCAAATCAATCAACACCTTATGCTTAATCAAAACCTCCGAGCACACTTGTCCACTTTCTCATGATTTGGGCCTGGGGCATTAATATATATAGTTCCTTATCGCAGCAATTTAGTGGACTGCCAGACACCAAAAATCCGATTAGACTAGGACCCTAATTCGCATTCTTATAATGCCCATAAAACACAACGCCCCGAGTGTGCTCGTTTTAATACAGCTAATTAATTATTCGGCTGGTCGAAAGGATCAACATAAAACCCAGCCACTACTCTATGCTAGCTGGCCAATTAGGGAAATTCGCAGAAATCAATCGACTGCAGCAGTTTAAGCCATACCCGAAGTGCTAAGACGATGACGGGCAGTTCAAGGGGTTCGATGTATACGAGGCATTTAATACCACACTCGTGACCGAGCACAAAACTGAAATTCAATTATCCGCCTGCGGTGGGCGGACGGCTCAAATTGCGTCTGCTTGTCGATGCAGTCGCCGCATAACCATAACCATGGAAATAACCATGGCCAAAACCATAACCAGATAGCACTGCTCCTGATTAATCACATGCAATATGTTCAGGCCTCCCCGGCATCGAACTCGAATTCGTTTCACAAGGCGTATTCATAAATAAAACCAGATTCAGGTTCAGAATCGGAATCAGTATGAGACAAACAAAGGGGACCGGCACAATGGGCAAATTGATTAGCGAGCAGTACTGCTGTGGCAGTATTAGTTTCCTCGATATTGCTGCCGGCTCTCATAATTCAATTACATTTTTGTGCTGCATTGCTAACGAGGCTTCTCGGCCGGCTCCGGCTGCTGTAATTGGCAGCCCTTCCTCTGTTGCTGTTGCTGTTTGCCGCCTTTCATTGTCGATCACAAAAGGCTTTACTTGGCCTTTGTGCACAAGTTTGACCCATTAAAATTCCAAAATCCCTAAGAGAAAAATACACCTCGGCAAATACACTTCAAACTTTAATCATAAAAATAGGGAATTCTCATAAAATTATTTCGTGTGTATTCTATAAATGAATACACAACTTTCTAATTGCATTTTATTATATTAAAACTTATGAAATTTTGAAAAAAAAACAACCTCGTAGACAATATTGGAAGTATTTACGGATATAAAATTCAACAAGTACTTTAGAATTAGTTAACCTAAATCATTAGTAACCATTTCTTAGGCTAAACATTTACTTGAAAAAGATAATTTTATAAAAATGTGTAATAAATTTGAAAGCCCTAATCAAACATTTAGAAATGTATCATCAGTTAGATGAATATATATATTTCTCTCTGTGCACCCACACAAAACTTATGCCAGAACTTACGTGAAAAGTCCTGAAGAGGTCGACAACAAAAAAAAGCTAAGAAATCAACAAGATAATAGTTGATAGTTGCGACTGGGAATGCGAATGGAAATAAACTTGCTCGCTATCTGGTTCGCTTTTTTTCGGTTACTTTTAATGACACTTGGGAAAGTTTTGATTTTGGTTTGCTGTCTACCATCTCCAGACTGCAGACTACAGACTCTTTCCTCTGCCACTTTGCCACCTAGCCACGACGTCATTAAGTTGATATTTCTCCTGTTTTTTTTATGGGGCATATAATTTTGTAGCCTCCGTCTTAGCGACAGCTCTCGATTGGGACGATGCTGAAAATGAGCAAAACTTCCAACTTAATCTATTCAGAAAGTTGCCTTTGCTGCAGCTAGAGCTTGAGCTTCAGCTTCGTCCTCAGCCCTTTTCATAAACTTCAAAATGCGCTTGTGCACGTCGTCAAGTTAACTTCGCTTTCGCTCCTTTCTGCACTCTTGCAGTTCGACTTTGTGTTCTGGAAAAGGGGAAACGGAAACCAATGATCGGCGACAAGTGGGAAGCGGAAATGGCGGAAAAAGTTGGGCACCCCGCGACATCTAACTCTGCGCTTTTAAGTAGGCGGCGGCTTTTGTTGCGAGGCGGCGAGTGACAAATCAAAATCGCATTCAAATGCGACGCGGCGTGCAGCGGAAGTTAATGCGAAAAACTTTTGCCCCAAAACGCGCACAATCAGTCAAGCATCTCCTTGGCACTCTTCTCGATTTTCCATGCACATCAAAAAAATATATAATCCCAAAGTTAAAAAGTGAAATAGAAGATTTTGATATCTACCCAAAAACAAAAAATTGTAACACACAAATGAAATTATGGGTAGGGTTTGATTAATTCTAAAATATGTTGGGAAAATTTATATTAAAGAAAATATTATTAAAATTTCTCAGTTCTTTTTGTTCAATGTGACTTTGCCGGATTTTCTCTCAATCCTTCGCTCTGTTTGTGCGTAGTGTGAAAAATGAGTCTTGGCAGTTTGTGTTGCAACCGCAAAAGCCTGACACTTTTTCACGCCGCCTGCGACGATTTATATTTGTGGCAAGTGTCAAAAGTTAGACCCAAGTTTTGCGACTTTAAAGCGCCACTCAATGCAAATTAAAGCAAATTGAAATCGGTCGAAAGTACATTCAGCTGTGTAAACTTTTTAATATAATTTTAATGGCCAGCAAAGTTTGCACAATCATTAAATGGCAAACAATTTTCGTTTTCAATTTGTTCAGATTCTGTATCAATAC